TAGATAAAGAATTATGCTTCTTTGGAATCTATCTATCTACTCCATCAATGTTCTTTATGTTAATGATCAGATGATTATTGTTGGGGCCACTAGTTTATGTAATGGTTTTACTTCAATTATTTTTGGGGTGTATGCTTTTAATTCTGTATCTCAGATGGCTCTACTTTGGGACCATATGAGATGTATTGGGGCTGATACTACAATACCTTGGTTGCTATTAGGATATTCCAATACTTTATTGGATAATTAAAAAAGAATGGGTGGTAGTGGTTATTTACCACTGGATTCAAGGGACTCTGGACATATTATATCAAAATGTGGCTTAACTGACCTTGGTGCAGCAGGGGGTTGGTTCTCCTGGTCTAACAATCAGCCTATTAGGAGATGTGTCCGAAGAAGATTGGATCGTGTTATGGCGACTATTGATTGGGTGCTGGCGTATCCAGAGTCCAAAGTAGAGCTGATCCAAAGGGGAATTTTGCGCCCTCCGCTAGTATCCTTGTCAGATTTTGGTCCAGTCGGGCCAAAACCCTTCAAATATTTTTTGACTTGGGAAAAATCTCCTAGATTTTTTTATATAATTTTGGCATCTTGGCAAGGTAGAGTGGGGGTACATCTATATTCCGCTTTGTTACAAAGTTGCAAAGACTTACGGGGGGATTTGCATGCTTGGAATAAGTGTTTAGTCATGTTAATAATTCTATTTGGAAGTTCGGCAAAAATTATCTATATGTATGACAGCCGCATTCTGGAAAGAAACCCTATAGCGGGATACGTGTACATGTACATAGAGAGAATTCCCTTGCACTATAGTGATATGTGCATGCGACTTACTCTTAGGGGAGATCCTGTAATTCACGTCCTACAACTACAAGTTTACTTAGCCAGCTTTGACGGGCCAATCATGAGTCATGCGCATGACTATAGGTCATGGGTCCCATTGAGTTGGTTTGAGATGTGGATCACTGGTTCTTGCACAGTTAGAATGCCTTGGCAATCAGGTGCCACAATTACTCTATGCATCCTTCATCTCTAAGTGGTCTACTTTTTTAAAGAACTGTTCCGAAAACAATGTCCCATTGGAAAGTAATATGGATGATTGGCAATGCGTTGCTAATTCCCCAAGCCCTTTTTTCTATTCTTGTATGATATCAAGAAACACATTTACTGGCCCTTATTATCATTGGGTTGCTCTTCCTTGGAGGGAAAAAAAATAAAAATAAAAAAATAAAAAAGCATGCGTGTTCCTAAACCCTATTTCTACACCTGTCCGCATAGGATTCAGGAGTTTCAAGCTTATTACAGTTCTTCTCATAATGTTATTGTATGTCATCTTAACCTCCCTTGTTTATCGCAGGTGATGTTTGCTCAAAGATTAGGTCGATGGGATTTACACTGCCTGGGAAGGCTGTTTGCTATAAATTAAAGATTGTCTACAAAGATATGAATTATCTTTTGTACATAGAAGTCATAATCATTCGTCTATTAAATTTCAAAATGGGTAGTAGTAATAGTAACATAGAATATGCACAAATTTCCAAAAAGAAATTCTTAGACTTCGTGACCCACCCCAAGCCATCTGATTTAACAACTATCAAGTAAGAATGATGACTTCCAGCATTACTTGAACAAGTAGAAGGAGTGAGACTCTTCCATATTGTTGATGACGAGATGGTGTGGGAGGCTGAATGTGATGGTTGTTTATCCATAAGATCGGCTTATAGCCTGTTGTATCATGACAAAATTAGATGGAACAGAACCTCCTTAAGGAGGATCTAATCATGGAGTATTCCTCAGAAGGTTAAGGTGTTCTTGTGGATACTCTTTCAAGACTTTGACTATAGATAACCTTAAAGAAAGTGGGAGAACCATTACAAATGTGTGAATCTTTTGTAAGGATAGTAATGAGACTGAAGATCACATGTTCCTTCATTGTTCGCTTGCATTCAAACTATGGTGCTCGCTATTTAGATGATTCAGAATTGTAAGCTCTTTGCTTCAACATCATACTCAAATTATAGAATTTTTGACATTCCATGGGTTACCAAAAGTTGGGGGATTAAATTTTTCGGATTGGGAGGGTAGCAATTTTGTGAGAAGTTTGGCTTGAAAGAAATAGGCAAGTTTTTTAAGGAATGGCATTGGAGAGTTCTATGATTAAGAGGATGATCATGCACACCTTATGGAGTAGGTTTTCAACCACAAAGGAGGGGTTTGGTGTTTACAAAGTCGATGTGGAAGTGAATTTCCAAAATCTTATAAGTGAATTTGCAAAATCTTATATTGCATAAAGTAATCAAAATGAGACCAAAAAGGCATTGGGAAGCTCCAGAAGAGGGTAGTTTGAAATTGAACTTTGATGGCAATTCATTGGGGAATCTGGGTTCGGTTGGCACGGGAGGTGTAGCGAGAGATTCTAAAAGGGTAATTATCATATGTTTTGTTGGGCCTTGTGGTGAAAAGACAACAAATGAAGTGGAAATCTTAGTAGCTTCGTAAGGATTGAAAATACTAAAGGATAGGGGATTTGAGCAGCCGTGTGTTATTGAGAGGAATTATTTGAGTGTTATTAATTGGTGTAATAACATTTCAAGGCCTCCTTGGAGGCTTAGATTGTTATGGTTAGCTTTGATGGAGATCCGAAATGACCTTCGTGTAACCTACAAAACTGTCTACATGGAGGCCAATGAGATGGCAGATTCTTATGCAAAAAGAAGAGTCGCATTGCATTCTCTTCTGACCTCGGGAAGTTCTTTTCTCTTAATTCTATTGTAATCCACTTTTGAGAAAAAAAAATTTATAACATTGTCAAAAAAAAAAAAGAGCTTAGAGAGAGCTAGAGCAAGGGCTAGGGTTTCTGTTTGGTCGTGAAATTAAACGAAGAAAGGGATTTAGGGTTTCAAGTTTGGGTTAGGGTAAATGGTATTGGGTAGGGTTTAATTCGTTAATCATGATTTTAGTTTACTAGTCAAATTTAATTTAATTGATGACTTCTTAAAATTAATAATAAGGTATTGATAGATGATTAACTGTGTGATTTGTATAGAGCGTACCTTCAAATAGAG